CGCAGACCGGGGTGATCGTGTGCGATTTTATGAGAACTACTTTCTCACCGGGAGACGTTCGAAGCGATCCAAACTGTCCCATGGTGTATCAATATTATCCAGGGCTCAATACGACCTCACAACCAACAGGGCCGCTAAAACAGTAGTTTAACCAGGCATTGTTCATGGAAGAAGTCCAAAAATACCACTGTACATACAACAAGTTTTCAAAGGACTATAAAAATAAGTATATTGGATTCAACACTTGGAAAGCTATAGGAAAAAAGTTTGGTTTGAATGCCCCCGAACCAGAAAGAAGACTAGTATAAAACATTCGCACTACGTACGGACGTTACTTGTCGGACCTAGCTAGGCCTCAACAGAGCGCTTTACGCATACCAGACAATCGGTGCTATTATATGGGAACCGCCTTTTCGCTCCCAATCGCTTGAATCGCCTCCGGTTGTCTCGACGGTTGCAAACGATCGCGGCGGTCGAAACTATCTGGGCGATTATATGAGAACCGTACGCGGGTGCGACGTTAAGACGTTTCATAGCACAGATCGATGTTTTCCTTTGCATTCGTGTAGCTGCTCATTTTTCTGCCGTTCATTCAGTTTTTATAGTTTGGACAGAGGACATCTGCCTCTTATTTAAACTGCTATTAAAGTTTCGAAATGTATTAAAACATAGCGAGGGCCGAAGCTCTTTTGCTTCTTTGATATTAAAATATCAAAGAAGACATCCCCACAGCGTTATAGGCTTTCGTTTACTTTAAAATGAAATGAGACATAAGCAAAAGGCCTTGTTCCGGCTTCGGGTACATTAGTTCAAATCGCACCAGCGATTTAATCGCGCGAGTGCTGCTGTATCTTCCTAATCTTATAACATTTACGCGCCGAATCAATAGTCTCCGGTTCTCGCTCTTTTTTTGAAGCAAAACTAAATATGAACATTGCAGTAGATGATTTTTGACCTCAGTCTTATGCCTCTGTGTTTTATTTTTGTTTATGAAGTTGTAGGCACTAATAAATGGTAGCCACGATGATGAGTAATTGCCTACTTCGTCTGGATTTAATTTTCGAAACTAACACTTCCAACACGTTCGGAAATCAAAATGAAAAATAAAGTATCTGTGAGTAAAGCCAATGCCAAAACACGTGTTTTTTTTTTCATACTCAGTGTAATTAGGCTTATGAATGAATTAATAAAAGGACAAAAGATTAAAGAACGAGCAAACGAACAATAGGAACGAAAGATGTTTCGTGTTTTGAACACTTCAGCATGCTCCTGGCCTCATTCAGTTACACTTATCTTAACTCAGCTGTTCTCTTGCCTGACTTTAATTTACTTTCTACACGCAGAGAGAGCTATATGTGCAGTAAGAACAACTGAAACAACAAATTTCCCAAATTATAGGAAGTTTACAGGAAAAAAAACCGACAAAATGATAAAAATTAAACATAGCGTGACATACATGTATGACGACAAGAAATGTTTAAAAAATTAAACATAGCGTGACATACATGTATGATGACAAGAAATGTTTACACTATATTCACGAATAACTTAAACTTAGACAACTGCTCATGCATAACGCTTCAGCACGAACGCCTTCAGTGAGCTGAAACAAAAAAAATCAGTCAAACAAAATACAAATGAATACAGGACCTCATCAACACTTTGTCGAACCACCTAAATTGATCTACATGTGCCCTGAATCGAACTCGGAAAACGCCGGTAAAAGTGAAATACATGTAAGCGTGGATACTTCAAGTCACGCGTCCGTGCTGACGCCTGATAATGAATTATTAAAGATCAGTAGTAGCTTTAATGTTTAAATTTCAGTCGTCTTGATCTTAATTTCAAGTCTTGGGTTGTTGAAAGCTGCGAGCTATGAAGACATAATATGGAAGCATGTGCTGCATTGCGAATTAACTAAGACGGGTTTTATTTCAAATTATCGGCAGCATGTTATTTTAGAAAGTCGCATTTAAGGAATCTGTTAACTGAAAATCTGTGGACTGTGTCTTAAGATTTACAGTCCGAACTAATAAGAGGTAGCAACACCGTTCTTACCTGCGAGAGGAAGAAAAATGAGAGCAAACGCCAGGAACAAGAAATTATTTGCGGTAACTTCCGCCATGGTTCTTTCCTCCGACAATTAATTACTCATGGGCAGTGTGGCGCATGAGTTAAGGATTAATTGGATTCCGTTTCTCCCTTTTGCTGTTACATTTGTGTATGCAAATTTATGCATGCACAAATTTACCACGGTCCTTGGAGCTCCGTCCGCCATATTGGATTCTTCAAGAAGGTGCCGTTTTTTCGCAAACGTTGTGCTTTGTCCCCAATTTGATACGGTGTGAAAGTACTTATCCGTACTTTAGTTCGTTGTTAAGATTCTGAACTCTGCATGTGAGCATGCATGAACAGCAAGAAAGTGTTTCTGGAGAGGTAAGCCATTGTTTAAGTCTCAAATTTATTAGGGTTTTGGCCCCAGCTGATGTCACTTTTCATCCCTCCTGGGAGAATACTGAGCACATGTCAGTCCGCATAAAAAATTCAAAAACCGACCCATTTAGATCCGGCCACACCATCCTCATAGGGAGAACGCAGCAACCAGTCTGTCCAGTTAAGGCAATGAAGGCTTATATAACTACGGAAACCCACCTTGGGCCCCCTTTTTATATATTCATCTGGAAAGCCTCTCACCAAGGATGCTTTGACTTCAGAAACAAGGCAGCTTCTGTCCCAATCAGGATTTACTCCAACTCAGTACGCAGGCCACAGTTATAGAATAGGGGCAGCTACAACCGCTGCATCTGTGGGACTCGCCCCTTGGCTTATCAAAACTTTAGGTCGCTGGTCTTCCGACTGCTATGAACGCTATATTAGATGCCCACAACCCCTTATTTTTGAGGTCCCCCAGAAACTAGTACGGGATAAGTACCATTAAGGAAATTAACCTTCTACGTTTTTCTATTTTTAAATATGCAAGGCTGTAAATAATTTGATTTCTGTTGAATTCTATCTTGTAATTTTGCCTGTTAAGCTTTTAAGTCCCAGGAGTGACCAATATCAAATGTCCTCTCCCAATCTTGATTTTTAAACATGAGAGAAAGTTCAAGAATTAATCATATGTTTACCAGTGTAACTGTTTTCACATTATAAAATTCCCCCAACAAAATCATAAGAAATTGTATGGTGACAAGTCAGGAGAATTTCTCTTTGGACAATGGGTTTTAAAAGTTTAACAGCATACATAAATTTCAACTTTAACTGAACATCATCAGTCTTGTATTTATATATCTACATGTTTATGAAGAGGATTGAATACACAAGCCTTTATTGTGGTTGCATGCTGTTCGCCTATGGGGAATACACTTTGTGTATTTTTGGGGATGAGGGGCTCCGTACAATTCGCCCCTTTTGCCCCATAGCTTCACAGGGTCAGCCTTCCCGGTAGAGTGGGACCCCAGTGTTACCGTTGTTGGTTGTTGTTGACTGTTTTCAGGGGGCCTGGAGATTAGTACCCCAGGGCTTGTGGTTCTGTTTGTTCCCAAGGGTCCTGGAAATTAGGACCCCAGTTGCTTGGGAACCAGGGCATGTGGT